TTTATTTGTATAAAAAAATTAATCTTTAACAAATATTTAATAAGAGGAGAAAGGGGGTGATAAAATTCTATATCTACATATATTTGACAGCATTTGCAGTTCAATTTCACCCTTCCTGAAGAGTTAATCCAACTAAAAAGTGTGCGATTTAGCTAGCTACTTTACCCCCTTGTTCAGAAAAGAAAAATATATACTCTGATCAATTAATCTGGCTCATTCAGAAAAATAAGTACTTATTTAGAGCAGAGATAATAAAGGAATGATTCAAAAATATTCAAATTCAATTGGATCAAAATAATTTAACTACTAAACACAAATACTACAAAGAATACTACATATTTAATAAATTAAATTGATGCATTTTGTATTTAAAATAAATGAATTATAACAAAATACAAAAAGATTTTTAAAAATTAATAAATATGTAATAAATTTTCTTTTATGTAAATAAAAACCTAAAGTAAATTTAAAATGCGGGAGTCAGAGTCAATACATTTTTTCCGACTCTGACTTCTCTGGCCAGAAATTCCTCCCTACTCCGACTCTGACTTCTCTGGCCAGAAATTCCTCCCTACTCCGACTCCACAACCCTGGTTAGTCAGATGTTTTCTGTGACAGTTTGGAAAATGAGAAGATGGATTTATAGTATAAGTAATTTATTACAATCATCTCTACACAGAAGTTTTAATAGATTAAACTGCTAAATTTTTTATTACATTCCTGTAAAAATCAGCTCAAAAACTTTCTAGATAGTACAGTATACAGAAATGTACAGTAACTTATTGATTACAGTAATATAATGCTCAGTATTGTAATGAGTATCAGAAATCGAAAACATTCATTAACTATGATTTTGTTACAGTTATAATTATTTGTTTATAATTCTTCTATTGTGAAGAAATTTAAAATTACTATATAACTTTCAAAAATGTTTATCTAAGTTATGTGAAGTCCAAGTTAGTAGGGGTTTACTGTATCATTAAAAATTAAAAATGTTAAACTAAGACAAAAGTTTAAAAAAGTACATTACAATAAATAAAATCATACATGTTTTTTTACAAATATACTAATAATTTTTAAAATTTATATGTAAAATATATTCAATATTGCCCATGTTATCAATAATTTTATTTTTTTGCAAACTTTAAACAAATTTACTACTGTTCATTGTTTCAAGGAAAAATAAATATATTAAAAAATAAGTCTATGGTGCAATTTCAAGAACTCAATTATTTAATGTAGATATTGTAGACAGTGCAATTCTTGACTCTGTTGTTTTTTTTTCCTTTTATTCTATTGTGAAATACAGGTTAAGAAGTTGTCTCCTGGTATTATGTTTCTTTCCATAATAAAAGTGAGATGGATTAGCAATGTTTTCTGAGTTTGAGTACTCAAACTTTCATCTATATATACTCTTGTAATGTCACTTGCCTGCAGGTGTAGTGTCTTTTGCTGACTTTTTCCTTTTTTTGAAGAAGTTTCAGATAACAGTGCAATGCACCAAACATTCCTTATTGCATAAATTTTCTATTTTGCTTGCTACTGCTCTCTGCTAACTACATCTGCTAATAAGTATGAGTAGTGAGGTGAAAATCACAGATGTATACTACAATGTCAAGTCCAGTTACAGATTGTGCAAGTTTTGTTTTACTTGCATCACTCTTTCCTGATTAGGCTGGAAATTTGTTATAAAACCCTAATAATTGTCCAAACCACTTAGGATTTTCATATTCCTAAATAATACATAATTTTTTAAAAGTAACTTTCAAAAACTATATTTATAATATGTAAATTTTAAGCAGGGGTGGAGCTACACAGAGACTAATAAGACTTAAGCCCTAGATCACCAAGTGTCAATTTATGATGATAATTCAATTTTTGTGGGCCATTGGGCCCACAAAAATTGAATTATCATCATAAATTTTTAATATTCTATTTTTTATGTTTTTTTATACAGTCGACCCCCCTATAAGATAGAGATACGTTCCATTCTCTAGGAATCCGATTTCTTACGAATCCTTCCAATCACAACCCGACACGTGTCAAGTTTACGGACTACAGCTGTTTGAAAGATTTTCTTCCATAAAATTAATCAATTCTAGACTACTCAACATTTCCAAAATACGTATATTTTTTTTGGGAATAATCCGTATAAACTACGCTATAAACAAAAAATTGTAGGATTACTTACCGAGTGTCACCATTCGACATCGCCATTGCTCAACATTGTTTTCGTCGCGGAACAGCTCAGCAAACTGCTGCCGATTTCTAATAACTTATTTTTCTGCTAATAGTTCCTTGAACTTCGGAGACATCATTAATATAAATAATTTTAATCGCCGTTGAATAAGAAATGTTTCTTTCACAAGAAATGTATAAAATTACAGTACTGTATTAGACTTACGGTACCTAATTTACATACTGACAGACGATAGTTAGCGTAAAAATCTCCGTAGCGTGGCGCCACGCTAGACGGCGGAAATTATATATTTAATTATAACAAAGTTACAATAAGTTAATATATAATTATATATACAGTACCTAATTTATATATAATTAATATATAATTATATGTACAGTACCTAATTTATATATAATTTATATAATACTGTCCAGACGATAGAAATCTCTCCGTAGCGTGGCGCTACGGACGGCGGGAAAGTAGTTCGGCTGCCCGATGACGTTTGAGGTGTTTATAGGGAACTTTTACTATTTTTTACGGATACCGGTAGAAATTTTTTCGTAGTTTTATAGGAATCGTAATTATAGGGACCGTAATTATAGGGGGGTCGACTGTATAAGATATAAAGATGGTCATTCAACACCATTTCATAAATAAATATATTTCAACTTTGATTTTGATGTTATTAAAAATGAATTTTAAACCCCAATTTAAAGATTCTTAACCTAACAAAAAATGGGGTCCCATTGGACTTGAATAAGCTCTAGGCCCTGAAAAACATAGGTCTGCTTGTAATCTTAAATTGTTTTTTTTTAGTTATTTAGAACTGACTGTTATTATTAAATTTATGTACAAAGTTACATGAAAAAATTTTCATTATAGCTGAATCTTTTATTTACAATTTAATTACTATAATGATCTTTCAGCACACTCATTTCCATCCAAGTTTCTTTATTCCATAAATAATATGCTGTTGTTTCAGTTTAATTTGGATGATCATTCATTTTTATCCTTCAATCTTTCTCTATTTTCTTTCCCTCCCTACTTACTATCACCTCCTCTTCTAATTTCAATTTCATCACTTCTAATTTCATAGAGGTAAAGTCTGTGCCCATACAGACAGCCTTTCTACACTTTTAATGTAATGTAATGTAATGTTATTGTGTAACTTGTTCCTATTGTATATGTGTCAATGCTATCAAGATTCTAAACTACACTTAATAATATTTATAATTTACTTAGAATATATCAATATGTAAAATTTGTTTTAGAGAGATCAGTAGTATATAAAATCACTTTTTAAAAATGTATAGTCAATCAATGAATTTCAAATTCATTATATAGAAAGGTTTTGAAAAACATCATAAAGTGGTGACTTAGTCCTAGTCAGATAATGGAATAAAAGTTGGCACAAAAACAGATAATAGAAAACGATTAATTACTGCCCAATATTGGACCTAACTTTTTATGAATTTTGAGGTTACAAAAATCATATTTTTGAAGTTTTTAAAATATTACTGTTTCTTTACATTAAGTCACAAGATAAAAAATATGTCATTACTAGAAAAAAATGGGACACAAGATTGTATGTATTAAAAAAATTTTTGGCATGAAATTTGGATAAAAAAAGTTCAAAAATTTTCAAAAGATTATTTCATTGGTTTAGAACAGTGAAAAAATTTTTTAAATTAGGAATCTTTATATTACTTTATGATATATTTCAAAAAAATTTCCAATTTCATTTGCTGAAAGCAACATAGTTAAAAATAAATAAAATTGAAAACTGGCCTTAAATTATTTACAAAATTTAGAAAGCAGTTTTCCTGAGTTATCTAATATGAATATATTGAATTTACTTTTTAATTAATTTTTGGCATAAAATTCAAATTTGAAGCATGTGAAATGACATGAACTATGCACATACAGTTCATGTCATTTGCAGATTACTGTTTGATTTGGTATAATTAGTGAATAAATTATATGACAAAATGAAGTAAATAACTTTTAATATTATATATTTTTAACATTCATGGTAACATAACTTGTGTTTTACATTTCAAGCAATCACAAAAACATCATGCCAAATCTAAGTTTGATTTAAATACAGTAGACCTCCCTATAAAACAGGTTCATATAATACGGATTCATATAACAATGTGAAAAAATTGCGATCGTAATTGTATAAACATGCTAAAAGAGACTCGTATAATACGGTAAAACGTCATCACCGACTTGTGTCACGACAGGATTAGTCGAATCTAGACCAATAGCGGATATTGCACAAACAGTTGAGTTTAAACGAGTAGCAGACCTACTAAAAACCATTTATTATTTCATGGCCATAAAATTATATTTATATGAATGATGTCTCCAAAGTTCAGTGAATTTTTCGCAAAAAAATAACTTATCAGAAAACACGCACTTGCTGTTCGATGCACTGCTATGCGACGAAAACAAGCTTAAGCAATGGTGTTGTTGAATGGTGCATACTCGGTAAGTAATCCTACAATTTTTTGTTTATAGCATAGTTTATATGGATTATTCCCAAAAAATTATATGTGTTTTGGAAATGTTGAGTCAAATTAGTTTAGAATCGATTAATTTTATGGAAGAAAACCTTTCAAACAGCCGTAATCCCTAAACTGCACACATGCCGGGCTGTGATTGGCTCATGTATTTAAGTGACTGGTAAAACACGGAATTCATATAAAACAGAACATATCTACTGTGTTATGGGGGTCTGCTGTACTTCATTCTGATTTATTTTAAAAAAGATAAAAATACTGAAAATATTAAAATTACTTTTTTCTTTTATTAGTGGTTCAGCCAGATGAGGTAGAGAGAGCTAGAATTCATGGTTCTTTATTGATTCCTCCTCGAATTCTAAGTGAAGAAATATCACCTGAAAGTTCTCATTGCTCACCAATTCAGGATCAGAAATCACAAGATTTACAAGATTCTTATGTACAAAATTTAGCTGATAATTTTCAAGAATGTTCATTGCCAACAGTTCTAAGGCAAGAATCACCACATGACAGGTAGTAGTAAACTTTTGTTTTAGTATTTAGAATTAATTTCTAAAAATATATAAATTTATTTAATTTTTGAAAATGTAGTGGAATAGGTGATTTCTCAAATAGATTTGGAAAAGAAATTTTAAATGATTTGGAAACAAGAGCAGAAATGAATAATTCCATTAAATCTCATCATCAGGAACAACGTCCTCGTTCAATTACTTTGTTTGAAGATGAAGAACGACCTAATTCTTCCATGACGGCATCCTTCAGTAGCCAAGGAAGCACCACACCATTATTTTCTACACCCCAATCTCACCAGCCTCATCAACATGTATTTCATGCTCGTGTTCAAACTCTTGTTGATCATTCTGGTAGACGTGGTCGGAAAAATGCAGATATCAATTGTGAAACTATAGGATGTGATTCTATTCTAGAAGATCAATCTGGAGTGAGCACTCGCAGATCTTCTATGAGTGATTCACAGTCATCTGTCTTAGATTTTCATCATCCATGCTTTCCTGATCCTGATGGTGCAGCTTCCAGTGGTGATGGTTATGGCTTATTAATGGAAAACCAAAGAATAATACAAAATGAAATGCATTATAACGTTGAGAGTAAAAATGCTCAACAAAAATCTGGTTCTCCTGGTAGATTATTACCAAAAGGAGGAAAAAACAGGGTAAAGTATTAATATTATTATTATTATCATTATCATTATCATATTGGTTGTACAAATATGCTATTTGATTGATATTGGTGCCATAGACTATATTGGAATGAATTTGAAGGTATAGCTATTTAAACATATATATTTTTTACTTTTAGTGTATGTGTAAATATACAATCTGTGTCAAAATAATTCAGTCTCCTTTGGTAATAAATGAAACTGCTTTAAAGTGAAAAAAGTAACATAGAAATTTAACATTTGAGTTGTTATATTATTAAGAAACAGAATATGTTAAAATTCCAATAGAACTGTAGATAGAATGGAAAATAGGGAGCTCTTCAAACTTTACACTAGTGTACTATAGACTAATGAGAACAAGTTCAGCTGGAAATAAATGGCAGTGGCTGAAGTGTTTTTCAGAATGATCAGAAAATAATTTTTCTGTAATTTTTGGGTTTGAAATAAAGCCACTAAAAGTTTAAGTTGTTGAAGGTCAAAGTGCCACAGGCTATCTTACAGAGGCAAGCATTCAAGGTTGTAGCCACTTGAAGACCACACATCTCATCACATTATGCATAACTGACAAACATTCATGATGTTATGAGTACTTCTTGTGGCAGTCATGTAAGAGATCATGTAAAAATTATATCAGAGCAGAAAATTGCCAAAATGATAATCACATTTGACTCCAAAATTATGAAAGCAATAAAAAACCACTGTCTTTTACATTACATAATTGAAACAAAATAGATATTCTACAACTATTAATATTGCATTAATGTCATCTTCAGGTAATGAAGAATGTATTCAGAATACAAACAAAATTTGAATAGATACATCAACATACTATGAAAAAGAATTCCTAAATAAATATTGTACTTTCTTAATGATTTTCAAATAAATTTTCAAAACTGTAGATTGAATGCAAATGGAAAAATGACTTAAACAACTTTTAAACATGTAAAACAGCATAATATAAGATATATGGTCAATGGTTGCTTATAGCAATGGTATAAGCAATATAAGATATATAAGCAATGGTATAAAATTTACAACTAATTACTTAAAGTACAGAATACATAAAGCCACTAAGAATACAAGCTAAACTTTTAACATTTTAAAAAGTGATACCAATAGTTCTGAGAGCTCAAACACAGTCATATTACAGGATCCTAACATCACTATATATAAAGATTTCCAGCAAAAAATAGTTTTGTGATTCATACATTGTTTTAGTAGGGAAGTTTCTAGCCATAAATCCACAAAATTACTTTCAAATACATTTCTGAGAGCTCTGTAGAGAATCTATTATTTATGATGTCATGCCAGTACTCCTCAAAATAGTTTGAGTTTTCTGGTTGTTGCCTGTATGTAAAATAATTTTGAACTCACCTGCAAGTCTTGTAAGGGGACCATATAAATCCAGATCTGAAAATATGAGTAATACACAAATAAATAATATAATATCAGGTTGTAAAGGTAAAATTTAGATCTTTTGATTTTTTCTAGAAATGAATGGAAAAAAAATGTTCTAGAGTGTTCAATGTGGGTATATAAATAGAGTAACCAAAGGGCATTTCACCACATATTCCATTCAAAATTAATGCATCAGCAGTGCCTGACAATATGAAACTTTTAAAAGAATACATTCATGTGATGTTGCTCTATCACTTCAAAAATGGCCACAAAGCAATGAATGCTCATGATCTTATCTGCAAGGAATTTGGCAAGGACAGTCAACAAGCATACCTGCTACAATTGGTTCAAGAAATTTAAGGATGGAGATTTTTCACTTAATTCACTTTGAATCTCATTCAGGCAGTGATTCCACTATTCATGATGACATTTTCCTGCAAGTTATAGAAAATAATTGTTAAAAAAAAGTTATAGAAAATAATAATCGGATAATTGATGCTCTCCTGTACTTAATAAGAGGAAATATGCAAGCAATGTGTGAATAAATCAGACTTCAAAAATATTTTTGAAGTTTTAAAAATTCTTGGTTAATATTAGGAAAGATGTTATATACCTATCGTTAACCACCAGAGAATTAACACAACAACTTAAGTTGTACAGTACCATACACTCAAAAATTTTGTTGTTTAATTGTTATTCATTTTCCTGATGGATAAATATAAATATTACTGAAGAAAACTAATCACATAGGGAATACACTAGTAATTGACTGTGCCAACTATTATACAACGAAATTCATTTTGGGCCTTCTTTCCCTCTTCATCCTCTATTACAAATAATTAAAAAATTTAGATACAGTAAATTACCTTTGACTGTTTTTTAAAAAAATAATTTTTAAAGAAATATTAATCTTTTTAATGTGTGTATTTTGTATTCAGTATGGTGTATTAGAATTATGTGCATTTATTGTTTAATTAAGTAGATCTGTAATAAAGGACTGAAGAAGGGCAGAAAGCCTGAAATGCACTTCTTTATATAATAAAGTTGGAACAGTCAATCACTGATGTATTCCTTATTGTGATTAGTTCTCTTCAGCAAAATTTATGCTTGTCGCTAAGACTCCAAAACTTGACAAACTCTGATACCATCATGACAACATGCCAGCACATAGAACAAAGATGACCTTAGAGAAGATGGCCAGTCTGGGCTGGGAGGTTCTGTATCATCCACCTTATGGATGTCCAAGCAGACTTGGTGCCAACTGACGTGAGTACCATCTGTTTTGCACTCTTCAGAATCTTACTGCTAATATACAATTCATTGACAATACCTGATGTCAAGATTTTCTTCAAAGACAATCCTATTATTTTATGCTGACGGGATTGTCAGTTCATGACAAAGGTTACAAAATGTGATTCATCTTGATGGTGATTACCTACTAAACTAAATTGTTAATTTAATTGTCAATATTGTTTTTTTTTCCTGAAAATGTCTAAATTTTACTTTAATAACCTGATACATTTTTTACTACCTGAAGATGACATTAATGCAATGTTGAAAGTACTAGTGTATCTATTTTATTGAATTAAATTAAAGTTCACTAACCTTATGTAGGCCTTGCATGTGAGAAAACCATTACTAATGTTTTTGGTCTGCACTTAAGACTTTCTTCAGGTAGATTTTTTCAAAATCAAATCTTTCTGGTGCTGGTGTTCTAGACTGGAATGCATAGAAGACATTCCAATGTGTTTGAATTCAAACATTTTTCCTTCTTTAAATTTTTCTCAAATATCCAAATGGGTGTGTCTACTCACAGTCTATGCATTGTCAAAATTCTGTTACAATGTTGCATTTAATATGTCATGCCATGCTCTTGAGATTGTTTTTCCTCCTCAAAGTTGATGGGTAAGACTTGAAGGTTGTCTTAAATATTTCTAGTGCCTGTAAATTTCTGAGCTGATTTGTATGGTATGTTTTTCATATTAGGATAGCTTGTTATAATCACTTGCATTATTACTTGCATATATAGTCAATGTGGTGGTTTGCTTTGGCTACATATGCAAGTGATAATAAGATTACTTATCCACAAATTCATGTGTGCATCATGTGGCAGATGTGCAAAACTTCAAACACTCACAATTTTTGATAAATGTATCTTTCAAAAAAATTTTTGATTCAGACACAAATTACTGACACAGTTTCAGAAATACAAAAATTTTTGAGATAAAAGTTTGTGTTTTTGCTGTAGAATCAAAATATGCAATAAAAAAATGAGGGTTCCATTTAAGAAAATGAAATTGGCCCTGTTTTCACTGATTTAACACCATCTAATGGCTTCACTTTGTGGTCCCTTTGAAGCCTCTAACATTTTTAATGATTTTTTTCCTGTAAGATGCATATTTTTCAAGAAATTTCAGTAGATTGACTAAAATGAACCACCCTGTACATAACTATAAATTTTAATGTATTACTAAATTTTAGTTTAAATTCACATTAATAAAATATCTGAAAATATTTTAAACCATTTTATTTAAGTCTATTTATTACACATTTAATATCATACTCGTCTAACACTGATGAAAATCAATTAATAAAATAAATTTTAAATAAATTCTTAGAACTTTTGTATTCAATTTTATTCTTTTTTTTCAACAGAATTTCCATTATAAACAATAAGTCTTTTCCAGTGTGAACTAGTTAAAATTCTGTCAAAAATTTTTTTTGGAATTTGTTTTATCTACTTGTGTTTTGTGCTTTTTTTCATTAACTCATGTTGTAGATTTTTATATTTGTTCTACAACATTCTATTTGATTGTAAGCTGAAGGTAGCCTGGTTACAGGTAGAAAACATTTCTTAAATTTTTCATTTATTTAAATTTAAGCCTTTTTTGTCTTTATCATATTTTCACTTGAGTAGTTTTGGCCAATTTGAACTGAGAAATATTGCCATATTTTGTTTATTCAGCAAAATGGGAGAAAAAATCACAAGGAAACATTTTGAATTACAGTAGAGCATCGATTATCCAAATCAATTCAGGACTGGGGTTGTTCGGAAAATCGATTTTTCAGATAACCGATTATGTATGAAAAAATATATTATTAATATAATATATTAGTATATTCCAGTAATAGTATATTAATATATCCCATGTTTAAATTTTTCATTGTTGTGTGTCACTTCGTGTTGAATTTTCATCAATGTTAAGCCTAATGAAAATTTTTATAATAATAATCATGGCTGTTGTATAGTTAAAAATTATTTCTTTATTTTGTACAAACAAAATAAATATATTGAAAAATATAAAAACAAAAATAATTATACTTTAGAAGTTAATCTAGTATAAAAAACGTTTGATTCAGCATGACACAGTCCAACTGGAACGCTTTCGGTTAACCAATGTTTCAGTTGATCGGCATTCAGATAATTGATGCTCTACTGTACTTAATAAGAGGAAATATGCAAGCAATGTGTGAATAAATCAGACTTCAAAAATATTTTTGAAATTTTAAAAATTCTTGGTTAATATTGGGAAAGATGTTATATACCTAATACAGATTAGATGCTGGAAAAAAAGAATCTAACAATAGGAAACCAATAAATAAAAAAATTGCTTTATTTTCTAGAAATTCATGTTTGCAAAGAATGTTTACATACTAAATTTGTTAGTTGTATTTGTTAAAAAAGTTTAAAATGTTATTTCAATTGTAATGTTATATTATTTTATTTATTTATCTAAGCATACTGGTACAAAACTGTGATGCGGGGAGAAGAATAAAAAGCAAAACAAATATACAAAAATCATACAAAAATACAAAAAAAAAAAAAAAACAGTAGAGTTTTGTTTAACTGTAAGTCGGTCAACCGAAACATCAGTTAACTGAAAGCATTCTAGTCTGCAAATTTTAATTTCTGCTAGTGCTGCAGCACTCTCCCCCTCCCTGCCAACCTAAACTGTAGGCCTACTTTAATGTATTACTAAATTTTAGTTTAAATTCACATTAATAAAATATCTGAAAATATTTTAAACCATTTTATTTAAGTCTATTTATTACACATTTAATATCATACTCGTCTAACACTGATGAAAATCAATTAATAAAATAAATTTTAAATAAATTCTTAGAACTTTTGTATTCAATTTTATTCTTTTTTTTCAACAGAATTTCCATTATAAACAATAAGTCTTTTCCAGTGTGAACTAGTTAAAATTCTGTCAAAAATTTTTTTTGGAATTTGTTTTATCTACTTGTGTTTTGTGCTTTTTTTCATTAACTCATGTTGTAGATTTTTATATTTGTTCTACAACATTCTATTTGATTGTAAGCTGAAGGTAGCCTGGTTACAGGTAGAAAACATTTCTTAAATTTTTCATTTATTTAAATTTAAGCCTTTTTTGTCTTTATCATATTTTCACTTGAGTAGTTTTGGCCAATTTGAACTGAGAAATATTGCCATATTTTGTTTATTCAGCAAAATGGGAGAAAAAATCACAAGGAAACATTTTGAATTACAGTAGAGCATCGATTATCCAAATCAATTCAGGACTGGGGTTGTTCGGAAAATCGATTTTTCAGATAACCGATTATGTATGAAAAAATATATTATTAATATAATATATTAGTATATTCCAGTAATAGTATATTAATATATCCCATGTTTAAATTTTTCATTGTTGTGTGTCACTTCGTGTTGAATTTTCATCAATGTTAAGCCTAATGAAAATTTTTATAATAATAATCATGGCTGTTGTATAGTTAAAAATTATTTCTTTATTTTGTACAAACAAAATAAATATATTGAAAAATATAAAAACAAAAATAATTATACTTTAGAAGTTAATCTAGTATAAAAAACGTTTGATTCAGCATGACACAGTCCAACTGGAACGCTTTCGGTTAACCAATGTTTCAGTTGATCGGCATTCAGATAATTGATGCTCTACTGTACTTAATAAGAGGAAATATGCAAGCAATGTGTGAATAAATCAGACTTCAAAAATATTTTTGAAATTTTAAAAATTCTTGGTTAATATTGGGAAAGATGTTATATACCTAATACAGATTAGATGCTGAAAAAAAAGAATCTAACAATAGGAAACCAATAAATAAAAAAATTGCTTTATTTTCTAGAAATTCATGTTTGCAAAGAATGTTTACATACTAAATTTGTTAGTTGTATTTGTTAAAAAAGTTTAAAATGTTATTTCAATTGTAATGTTATATTATTTTATTTATTTATCTAAGCATACTGGTACAAAACTGTGATGCGGGGAGAAGAATAAAAAGCAAAACAAATATACAAAAATCATATAAAATTATACAACATATCCCACAAATATATGCAACAACATCAATAAAATAATAATCAAACAATCAAATACATTCTAAACTTAAATTTACATGGGAGAACTATCCAAAAAAATAAAATAAAATAAATTGATAACCAACAGACTAGGCTAATCTTACCTAGAAAATAATAAAAACAACAATTAAATCACTTGTTTGCAAAATTGTATAGTCTCCCAAGTATCCAGAGCAACCACTGGTTAAATAACAGATGCCCTCGGGTGCAATTTACATAAAATTATCTGTATTTTACTAAAAATCTTGAAAAACAAATCAAAATCAGATATTACTTTTTTAAAGTTATCAAATGAAAAACAAATAACACCAAAAGTCTCCTCATGTAATTTTGACAAAAAAGTGCAAACAGCGATCATGTGATAGGCATCCAATGGTGAATCAACTGCACTACACATGCAGATTTGTAGTGCAGTTATTTCTAGAAAATAATAAAACAACAATTAAATCACTTGTTTGCAAAATTGGATAGTCTCCCCTCAATTCTAGTTAATAAATTACCGGTATATTCTGAAAATTCTGGAATAATGATGTATTTTAGTGTTGATCTAATGAATTAATTTACAAAATTTACATGTAATACTAAAAAATTAATTTTAATTTTTCCATTTTTATCTTTAGAATTCTAACATCTTATCTGCTGTACTGTGTTTGATTAAAGAATTGGATTATGCTAGTCTAGAAGTAGTAGAAACTGCAATACACTGCAGAATGGAAGAAATGGACGACTGAAAATGTGAATTCATCTTCCTGCTGTATTAGTTCTTTTATTTAGAGAATTTCATTATTGTATATATCATAATAAAAATACATTGATCATGAGCCAAAATGCAGAAAGTATTTAAATTGTCTGGAAAGAAAATAATTTTAAATTAAAATAATAAAAGTATTTTTATAACTATACTTTTGTTTCTTTTGAATCATTCGTCCAAACTGATCCTATAAATTACTGTTTTTGACTAATGATCAATGTATTCAAAATTTGCTCCAAATATGAGTGTAATCTAGTCATAATGCAAAAAGTGTCATTTTTTGACTCTACTTAAATTTCTGTCCAAGAATCTTTATTTTTTACAAAAAATATTTACAAGAAGTTTTTAATATATTTTTGGAGATTGTTTTTGTTTTATATTGCAAGAATTTGAAATTTTGCTGCTTCAATTTTCTTAAATCTATTTCCATTTTATTTACATATAACAATAATTATTCACTAAACCAAACACCTTTTTTTTGTGTATGTACTATTTAAATATTTCAAAAAGAGAGATTATAAAAAATTTTAAATGGGACCATGAAATAGAATTGAATATTAATGAAATTTTTAAATTTGAAGAATTTAAAAAATATTAATATAGAAAAATTAAAATATGTTACTCACTTGTTATTAGGCACATGTTAATTGTTATGTTCAAATTGTAATTGGCTTAGAGCTTGTATATAAAAATGAAACTATAACGTAAGCAGATTAATATTATAGTTGATCAAAAATCTGTCATTTAATAACTTTATACTTGAATCATATAACTTAAATAATAATTTTCAGATCATAAACAGAAGTATACAGAAAATTATAGTTTTACAATAAAATATCTAAATTATTCAGATATTTATCATACATTTATAAACTAAAAAAACATTAAAATATTTTATAAAATCATAATATTTGTCAGTGTTTTGAGAGCATTAAAAATCTAAAGTGTAAATGAGGTTAAAATAAGGTTAAAAATTATCAAGATAATCTTACATTCAAATGAAAAGGATAAGATGGTAAGTATGTTTAAGCCAGTTAAAAAATATAAAATTGTTTTATCTGTTAACTATATTAATTTACTTTTTTCACTTTACCTTGGCATTGTCATAATTTTAAGTTATCTATAAAACCAATGTTGTGCTTTTATCATTTTATCCTTACTGCAAGTAAATTGAATAAATTAGAATATCAGATATTCGTCCATTAAACTATAATAAAATATGTTGTGAATAGAAATATTTACATCTAAAATTTTAGCTGTAATTTTAATTTATATCTTTATTTCTTTGATTCTAATACACACTCAATTAAATATTGTAGGCTAAAAGTTTTTATGCATTTTCAATAGTACACATATATCAATTTATCTATTTTTACTTTGATGAAGGTGCTAAAATAAATGAACATGAAATAGTTTTTTACATCTCACAATGCTATTTCTGTATTCTTTTTGAATGTATAATGCATTTTTGTTTTAATTCTGTTTCATGAAATCTTGAAGATTTTTTTTTATATGATAAAGAACAAATTTTAATTGAATTCAACACCTGCAGTATTACTGATGAAGATAATTACAGTGTCAACAGGATTAAAAAATGTGAAATGTTCTCTCCTGTACAAGTAATGATAACTATATCACAGCTTTTTTTCTGTAGTTGTTAAAGAAATTTATTAGTTTGACATCAAATGTCAGGCACATCCTGATATAAGAGACATTAAAAGATAAAAACAGTGTCTTAGAATTGAGGGAATATTATATCTTGAGTAACAGTTTTTATATTAATGAAATTATCAGATTATATAACAATAATTAATATATTTAAAGATGTTTTGGCATTTGATGCAAATTAATTATAACAATATTTTAACAAAATTATATATGATTATACAGGGTGTGACAAGTCAGTAGCTTGAAAAATGTGCTTCTAATAAAAAAAATTGAGAATAAAAATTTACTCTATCCAAGGGGCCTTTTTAATGGTGTAAAAATAATGCTTCATCTATCCTCTCTGGGTGGGACAAAGGCCAGCTTAAAAATTTTAGATGAATTTTTTAAAATCTGTTAAAAAAATAATAAATACTTATTGAGAATAATTTTTCGAAACATGATAATTTCAAAAGTTATAAGCAAATACATTCATAAGTCTAAAAATATATATAAAAGAAAAGTTGGGAGTTTCATTTAAAATTTTGATGTTGCTGCTGTCCACCCAGAAGGGGAATGGGTGAAGTTTTATTTTTACAGCATTAAAAAGGACCCTTGAAAACATTAAATTTATTCCTATCAATCTTTTAATAGAAACACATTTCTAAGTTATTGACTTGTAACTTTACATGAAACACCCCTGTGTAAGTTAGTATTGCATTTTAAACATTTACCTATCAAACAATTCAAAACTTTTTATTTTTGTGATTTATAAATAATAAACATGATGAATATTTAATTGAAAAGATTTTATTACTAAAACCTTAAAGATATTTATAACTAAATAACATATTGCCCTGTCTTTAATGGCATGCCATAATATGCAAAAATTGAATGTTTTTGACAGAAAACAAAATTTATTGTTATCTTGTATATTATGTCACGCTATCATATTTTCCCATGAGTTGTAAGTGACATCAATATCAGTCTGTCAAGTATTTTATTAGAATTTCCAACATTTTTGTAGCAGTTGTGATTCCATTGTGAAAACAAAATTTAAGGCACATTCTTTGCTCAATTGCAACATTTCGAAAAATCATTGGCACAAAAATTCTTTACACACAAGACAAGTGCTAATTTGAAAACAGAAACAGATGACAACATATGGATTGCTGCTAGATATTGATGAAAGTCATACCAATTAACAAAAAAAAATGACAGCACTCTCTTGCACATGTGCAGTTTAAATGAACCATGCCTGATACTTTTTGATCATAGTAGTATTATACAGTATATTCATACTAATCATAACTAATTATTGTACAAAGATATTTGGATTAATGAAACGTTCAAATTAGTGGGGTTATATATATATAAAAAAAGTCATAAAGGACTATACGTAAATACATGTTTTTTAAAGCTTTTTAAAATATATATACTAAGTACAGTGTATATTAAAATGTACAGTACATGTTAAAATTACAAATTTTTCATGTTTTAACAATACTGTCAAATACTGAAACTAAACTAAATAATAAGTTTGTGTATTATTAAGACTATATACTGTTTGAAGGCAAAATTTATTTTAATGTTTACTCATAAGTGCTCTGTTGCAGCTACTGGTACTAGGAGTGGTTCTCATTGTTTCATTAGAAACTAGAAATCTTAAGACAGTTCCATAAGTTCAGTATTTTCTGAATGCTGAGCAAACATTTGGCCAATACCAAATAGTATAGATGTTTGACTTGTGTCAAATATTCAGTATTTGCTCTTTGTTGATATTGTACTGAATCAGAGGACAAAAATTTGCCTCCTCACATTCATGCTGTCCATCCACACATTTTTGCTTGCATTCTTGTATTTTCTTGTTTTTGGTCATTACTTTCAAAATGGAATGGTCTAATGTGTCATTGTATATACAAATAATGCCAATTTTAATAAAATAATTTTAATAAAATTATTTTATTAAAATTTTAATAAAATAATAATAATAAAATTATTAATAATACAGCCATTTTAATAAAATAATAATATAAAAAATATCTAGTTTTTAGACTTTCACTATTAAATACATTTTCTGTTTTAGTTAAGGCTCACTACTATCTACCATCATTTTATCATACTATTAATGATAAAAAGAAATCTAGATTTCTTTTTATCATTAATAGATTATATGTTCATATCTGTTAATGATAAAAAGAAATCTAGAAGATTTCTTTTTATCATTAACAGATATGAACTGTTCATAACTTCAAAAGCAGTGGTACAAAATTATTGTTTAAGAATTGTCCATTTTCTAGATCTTGAACAAACATTTGTCATTCCCACAAAGAACTTGTGCTGGGAAATAAGTGTGACAAACTCTTTGGCAAAGGCAATTATTTGATAAACAGCAAATACCAAATGTGTGGAGCCATCTTTATGAAAATACAAATAGTATGACTTTTTCAAGAAATTTCTACTGTTCCATGAATATATAATATATGGCACTGCATATTTTACTTGCATTACTTTATATAAGTAAGCACAGTTCAAAATTATATGAAATGTATTATTAGCCTGGTAAAAATTGTATGAACAAAATTGGTTTTAATCACTGAGAATGCAGTATACAGCAGTGGTTGCCAACCTTTCTGACCTCATAAGCCACTAAAGTCACAATTTTGAATCACCAGACCACTATCATGAAATTTTTAAACAACACAAATGTTTATAGAATAATGATTTTAAAAGTTCCATTTTACTTTCTTTTACTTTATTAATATGAAATTCACTTGTTTAATTATAACAAATTAGTGTGAAGTTTGTTGCTGCTTGTTTGAAATAAGTTTAAGAATTCTTTGGCTTTTTCCATGAAGGACAACAATTGCACTCACAACATTATTTATTGTTGATTATTGATAATAGTCATGTCATGTTTGGTTTTAGATTCAAATAAAAAAATCCCCAATAGGTGAGGAAAGCAACCAAGCATTTTGAATTTCTTTTGTAATACTTTGCATAACTTTCAGTTGATCAATGTCCAAATTTCTACAAAGACAACCAAAATTTTCTCACAGACCACTGGTACTTGTATACAGTGTATGGTACTTAAAAAACATGCACATTCATTATGAAGTATAATTAATTTCAAAATTTAATAAAAATGATAAGAGTATTTGTGTGAATAGTGTAACATAATTGGCAACAAATTTTTAAAACTAGATGATATTGAGATCCCCTTGTTTATCAGCATGGCAAATCCTAGCATAAACTCTTGACATCAAAGTTGACCAATAGCTGTTCAGAATTTTGACAAGATAAAGAAAAAGTTTGGCCAATCAATTCCTGGCTTGATTTTTGCATGCCATACATTAGCATAGGCCAGTCCTTTACAGTGGCATGCTGTGACATTTGATGATAGTGAAGCTGTGTTTCTGTAAGAAGCTGACTTACAGGGGCAGTTGGTTAATTGCGCATCAGGGTCTATTTGTATTCGTTTGTTCGATAAGCCAGTAAAACCCGCACACTTCTTTAAATGTATTTGTAATAGATTATCTGACGTACTTAATAAATAAACAAGTTCAATATAACTCTGTTATTAGATTCAATAGATTCCCTATGCCCTCTAAATGCCAATTCTTGCTTTGGGGAAAAAATATATAACATCTATTAATTTAGATATATTATATCTATTAGCCCATAACTA